TATGTGTATACAGATGACCCGTATTTAACGATTCCACATTTTCCTACCACACAACAGCTGAGTCCGTTGAGAGCGAGAAACGTGCTTTGGAGGAAGCTATCAAGGCTGAAAAGGATGAAGAGGTGTGTGCATAGTGCTGTAGGTGTATTTAGGTATATTTAGGTATGTCCATGCGCTTGAGTGTAGTTGGTGACTTGTATATGCAGATACTTTTCATACACCTATGGCGTATACGGGAGTATGTGCACGTAAGAGAATGGAACGGGTGTATGTGCGCGTAAGAGTATGGAACTCGTGCATGAACCTATAATTGCAGCACACATACACGTCTACATACGCGTGCACACATACATTGGACTATACATATTCCATTCAATGCACGTAAATGCACACACTCACACGTCAGTATACAGAGCCCCCACTTGTGTTTTGTAGCACACATCCACATCCACTTCCACATACACGTGCGACTATACCTATTCCCTTTAATGCACACAGATGTACATACGCACACGTGTCAGTGTACATACCCCCCCACGTGTATTCGTATACACCCCTCTGCACGTGTACGTACCCATCTGACGGCTCTCTGGGTTTGTGTTGTGCTGTAGGCGCAGGCGACTGACGCTGTCGTCGGCGGCGTGGTTGCTAAGCAACGGTTAAATATAAGTCAGAGTGGTGATTATAATGCTACCTCCCATACTCCTATGTACTTGTATGCACACGTACATTTGCTCGGATATCGGGATTGCCCCGGGCATAGGTTGTCACCAGCATTGACTGGGTTTTAGGGTTTAGGGTTTGTGGTCTATTGTATATTGGTATCTGCATGGTACCTTCCATAGGATTTGAGCGCTGTATGTGACTGTACAGAGTGCGTATACATACGTACACTATGTAATATACCTACCCACGTGTAGGTAGGAGCTTACCCGTGGCCCATGTAATATTTTATACTTAATATTTATATATTTATCATTTAATATTAATGTTTAAATATTTAATTTTGTAACATTTAATATTTAACATATTTAAAAAAATTGAATTTTTATTATTCAATATCTATTCTTTGGAACTGATTGGCCCAGAGGGATTTGGCTGTGGCGGCCATCATCGCCGAGAAGGACGATTACATCAGGAACGTGTGTGTGGACAAAGGCAACCAGATGGCACAAAAGGATACCGAACTGCAAGAGCTGAAGCAACGGTTAGAGGACGTGCAGAATGGTACTTCCGGCACTGGTAGGTGTATGGGATGGAGTGTATTGGGTGGTGTATGGGATGGAGTGTATTGGATGGTGTGGTTGCTTGGGATGTTGTTTGTTAACCTGAACGTGTGTTGTGTGTGTCAGATATAAAGTGTGTTGTAACAGGTGATGATTTGTCACACGATAGTAGATGAATGTCTGAATGGTGTATGGGATGGAGTGTGTTGGGTGGTGTGGTTGCTGGTGATGTTGTTTGTTAACCCGAACGTGTGTTGTGTGTGTCAGATATACGTGTGTTAGATTGTAACAGGTGATGATTTGTCACACGATAGTAGATGAATGTATGAAGGAGCCGTCAGCGCTGTGATGCGTTGGAGTGTTATTTTACGGGAAGATGAACTACTCTTTTGTAATATGTTCTTGATTGTCGTAGTTCATGTTTCATGATTATGTTTATGATGATGTTTATGTTTATGTGTATGTTTAATTGAGTTTGTGTTGAGTTTATGTTCATGTGTATGTGTATGTTTATGTTATGTTTATGCTTATGTTTATGTTTATGTTGAGTTTATGTTGAGTTTATGTTTGTGTTTATGTTCATGTTTATGTTTGTTTATGTTTATTTATGTTCATGTTCATGTTCATGTTCATGTTCATGTATGCTTGGTTTGGTCTGCACCTTCCTTGTTCTCTCCATCTCTTCCTTTTCTCGAGTTAGTGTATGTGATTGAAGGCTCATCGAAGTGAAGTGAAATAGTGTCCAATTATACGCACGAACAACTGTGAGATCTGAAAGGAGGACAGTCTCATCAGTCGATTCTTTATGAGCGATATAAACGGGTGTGTGGGTAAGACCATAGCAAGTATATATATACAGATATATAGTATTTGCCTATAAACCATACATGCCTTTCTACACTATAATGTTTGTCCATACCACATTTATGCCTATGTCATGTTTATGTATATATATCACATGTATATTTCTATCCCATATATATATGTCTGTCATATGCATTTCATCCCATATGTATGTCTATCTCATATAAAAGTATGTTGTATGTATCTATGACTAAACGTACAACGGCATCACTCCCGTGCAGCCGAACGAGAGAGCGAGATCGAACGTTTACGCCAAGAGTTACAGCAGAAATCAGGTGAACTGGAGAGTCGCAACGGTGAACTAGAAACTACGCAGAGCCAATTAGCCCAACAGTTACAAGACATCGAAGCCACACGCCTGGAACTCAATGAGAAGGAGAATGCCCTGCACGAGTCCGAGGCCAAAACGGTCCAAAAACTGGAAGAAAAGGACAGGGAACTGGCGGAGAGTAGGCTGGCCCAGCCGGCGAGTCTGGTGGTGGGGGCCGATAGTGGGCTGCAAGAACAACTGGAACAGGTGCAACTGGAGAAGCAGAGCTTACAGGACGAACTAGCGGCTGTGAAGATGTCACTTGCAGATACCCAGGTATGTATGGATGGATGATTGGATGTATGTATGGATGGATGGATGGATGTATGTAAGTATGTATGTATGGATGTATGTATGTATGTATGTACGTATGTATGTATGTATGGATGGATGGATGGATGACTGTATGTATGTATGTATGTATGTTGTGTGCATGTTGTGAACGCGTATAGTTGGTACCAGAGTATATTAAATGCAGCCAGTGTGAAGCGGTAGACAGTGCGATCTGCGGCATATGCACCTTCCTATGTTGGGCACACCACCTGGCATATTCCTTTGCATGTATTCTTGTATATACTTTGCCCACGTACTTGCAGTATATATATATACTATCTATTCTTAACTCATTCCCCTTACCACAGGCCGCTCTGAGCGAAGCTGAGAGCAGGCAGGCGAGTGGCAGCGGAGGTGGCGCAGACCACACAGTGGAGATAGAGACACTCAAGAGTGACATCGCTAACCTGCGCATACAGAACGAACAGTTACAACAAGAAGCGGAGGCTCTGGCGGCCACCTCCACGCCGAAGGCGAAGAAGACCAAGTTTGGGGGGTTGTTTGGGAAGAAGAAAGATAAGAAGTCCAAGAACTAGAGGGTGTAGGGTTGTGTATCCTGATACTTGAATAAAGATCGTGCATATATTAATACGTACGGTGAGTTTGATTGGAATAATTTGGATTTGGATGTTTGGGTGAGATTGTGTATTAATACACACACACACACACACATACATACATACACCCATACACTCACACACACACCCACTTACACACACTCGCACACACTCATACAATATATTATATA